TGGGATGCAATGGGATCCATGGGATGGGACCCATGGGATGGAATGCAATGGGATACAGTGGGACGAGATTCATGGGGTGGTTTGCAATGAGATCTATGGGCTGGGACGGGATGGGATCCATGGGATGTGATCCATAGGATGGGATTTAATGAGATCCATGGGATGGCATCCATGGGACGGGATCCATGGGGTGGCATGCAATGAGATCCATGGGATGGGATGCAATGGGATACAGTGGGACGGGATCCATGGGATGGGATGCAATGGGATGCAGTGGGACGGGATCCATGGGATGGGATCCACGGGATGGGATGCAGTGGGATACAGTGGGACGGGATCCATGGGATGGGATCCATGGGGTGGCTTGCAATGAGATCCATGGGATGGGATGCAATGGGATTCATGGGATGGGATCCACAGGATGGGATGCAGTGGGACGGGATCCATGGGATGGGATCCATGGGATGGGATGCAGTGGGATGCAGTGGGACGGGATCCATGGGATGGGATCCATGGGATGGGATCCATGGGATGGGATGCAGTGGGATGCAGTGGGATGGGATCCATGGGATGGGATCCATGGGATGGGATGCAATGGGATGCAGTGGGACGGGATCCATGGGATGGCATGCAATGAGATCCATGGGATGGGATGCAATGGGATTCATGGGATGGGATCCATGGGATGGGATGCAGTGGGATGCAGTGGGACGGGATCCATGGGATGGGATGCAATGGGATCCATGGGATGGGATCCATGGGATGGGATGCAATGGGATTCATGGGATGGGATCCATGGGATGGAATGCAGTGGGATGCAGTGGGACGGGACCCATGGGATGGGACGCAATGGGATGAATTCAGAACCCCCCTTCACTCCCAGTCCATTTGCCCCGGATCCGCTGCAATCCCCACCGGGATCGGGGGGTTCACCCCTGCGTGATCCCCCCCGCCCGGGAGATCCTTCGGGATTCCAGGGCGAGGGGAAGGCGGAGGAGGAGGCGGAGGAAGAGGAGGAGGCAGAGATCGCACCAAGAGCGGCCCTTTTTCATCCCTTCCCCTCTCTGCCTCTCACAGGAAGCCCAACTCTACCTTCGCTTGGAAAGAGCCTTTCATAAACCCAGCTCAAGGCTCCCATTCACGGCCATGGAGCTGGGAAAAANGGCGCTCCTAAAAAATAACCCAGAAATGCTCGCAGCGAAAATTTGATGTTTTTACCGTCTGCTCCCCGAGAGAGGAGAGACTGGAATTTTTCGCTCCTCAGCTCCTAAATATCCGCGAGAAAAGCGGGAAATAAAGGGGAAGAAAGGGGGAAAACGACCCAAAAAAATCGCTCCGAGATTGATTTTTAAAGTTGAGTGAGTCAGCCCCGAGCCCGGCGCCTCTCCGTGTTTGCCCGCGTGGTGCATCCCTGGCAGGGCTTGTAACCCTTTCCCAGCCTCGCTTCTCTTCCCAGCATGGAAAAACCAGCAGGGAATGCTGGATCCCGCCGCAATTCCCAAATAATCCCACACACACACACACACACACAGCTCGCTCTGGGGGAAGAGAGGGTGGCTTGGATTTTTTTAATATTTTTTTTTTTTTCGCAGCGGAGTTTTATGAATGAAAGGTCCCGGCTGAGCCGGGAGTGATATCCCAACCCTTTTCCCGGTTTTCAGGGATCCTGGGATCTCCCGGAAAACTCTGCGCCCATGTGGGTGAAAAAAAAAAAATAAATCCCAAAATCAAAATAGCCCCAAATGCCGAGGATTTCAGTGAATTTCGGAGTGAGGGCAAAGCGCTTTTGCTCCGGGGAGGGGGGTAAATTAAAAAAAAAAAAAAATCCTAAAATAAAGGACGGGAAAGGGGTGGAAAGAGGGAATGGGAATTTTCAGCCCCACGTTTGCAATCGTCTTTTTCAAACTGCAGCTCCTTGGAGGCAGAGAGGAAGAGAGAAGCCAAAAATCTCCGATTTTCCCCTAAAAATAGAGAATTCCCTGCCTGGCAGAACCAACTTTTTGGGACAGCCGAGCAAAACCTCCCCAGCGCCGCCGCTGCCCCAAAGGCGACAGCGGAGGGAAAACATTCCCAACTTTTGAGGCGTTTTGGAAATTTGGGATTTGTTTGCGTGCGGCAGAGAGGAGGAGAGGCAACAACAAAAAAAAAGAAAAATAAAAAAATAAAAACCCCAAAAATAAAAGGGACGGAGGGCGGGGTGGGGGGGGAAGTTTGGGGTTTTTTTGTCCCCTCGGCGAGCGAAAAGATAAAATTACTGCGGCTAAAAATAAAGCGGTGGTTGAAGGTTCCCCCTCCCTCTGGCATCTCCCACCCCTTCCAGCCCTCTCCCTGCTCCCTCCCTCCTTCCCTCCCTCCTTCCCTCCTTCCCTCCCTCTCCGTGTTTGCGTTTGACAAAGAAATGATTTGAACTTCCCGGAGCCGCAGAAACTCGGGATCCCGAGGCGCAGCCGGGCCCATATGGATGTGATTTCCCAGCTCTCTCCCAGATGATCCAGCGGCACCGGGAGCCGCGGCTGCCTCTCCCCATGGGCTCCGCGGCGCAATTTTGGGAGCTGCCCGCCACTCCAGCCATGAGAAAACGAGGAAAAGCCCCGGGATCTCTCGCCGTGTGCCTCTCTGGCTGAAAGCTGGGGAGCCGAAGGAGCCAAAATCCCGCGGATCCGGGCGCACGCCGGGGAGGACGAGGAAAAAGCCGCGCCGCTGGAATTCCGAGCTCGCCTCCTGCCGCTTCCCTGCGCGAGGCTGGATGCTGGAACAGCCCCTTGGATATGGGATCATCTCTGCTGTATCCCAGCCTGGGTTTGATCCTCTGCTGCTCCGTGCTCAGCTCCGTCTACGCGCTGGTGAGTCCCGCTTTTTCTTTTTTTTTTTTTTTTTTTTTTTTTTTTTTTTTTTTTTTTTTTTTTTTTTTTAAAGAAGAGATGATTAGTCTCTATGTCCTCTTGAAATGTATTTGAGAAAAGTACTAGTCCCTGTTGTTAATTTTTTGCCTTTTTTTCCTTTTTTTTTGTTTTTTTTTTCCTCCCCCCGTGGTTTTTCCCGCAGGATCCGTGCGGATCCTGCCGCCAGGAGGGAGAAATGAAGGGATGAAGGATTAAAAAGCTGGTTTGGGGGTGTTGGGATCCGCTGGCGGGGCTGCGGGCGCTGCAGTGAAAATGTCTGTGCTTCCCAGAGTTGGGATCGCTTGGAAAGCTCAGGGCAGGACGAGGGAGGCTTGACAGGGATCCGGGACAGCGTTTGGGGCACAATTTCGGGATCTGCCTATGGAGAAACGACAACTTTGCTTCCTTTTTCATATTTTTCCCCTTTTTTGATTTCTTATTCTGCTTTTATTTTTTTCATTTATCTTTCATTTTTTTCTTTTTCTTCTTTATTTCTTATTCCTTTTTCTTTCATTTTTTTCCTTTCTATTTATTCCTTTTCCCTTCACTTTTTCTCTTCCTTTCCCTTCCCTTTTCCCCTTTCCTCCACCTTTTCCTTTTTCTTACCTTCCTCTTTTCCTTCTTCCTTTTCTTTTCCCTTCCCCTTCTCCTTCTTCTTCCTCCCTTTCCCATCCCTTCCTCTCCACCCCCTCCAAGACAATTTCGTTCCCAATTCTCCTTTCCCTGCAAATCTCCTTAATCCCAATGAAACTGAGCCTCTCCTTTGGAATTCAATTTGGGAAAAACAGGGAAGTTGTAGGAACCCTTTGCTCCTTGGCACTTTCCACCCCTTCCTGCACACACCAGGCTTCCCAAGGCTGGAAAACCGGGATAAATCCATCCAAACTGGGCAATGGTGTGAGACCTGCAGCTCTGAAACCTCCAGGAAGCAGGGAAGGGACATTTCCTTGGGAATCAGCTGCTGGATGTGGAGCCAGTGCTGGAATTCCCTGTGACAGGAGCTCTGCTGGCTCTCCCCATCCCTGGGATTCTCACTCCTGCTCCCATTTCCCAGCGTTTTCCAGGAAGGAGCAGGACACCCATGGGAAGTGGGATCTGCTCTCCAGGAGGGATGGAAATAGAATTGGGATCGGGATCAGGATCAGGATCAGGATCAGGACCATCCTGGCTCCAGTCAGGTCCCTCCTGTCCCTTTAGGATCCACCAGCCTGGGCCTTCTCCCTGGATTTGACAGTTTGGAATCTTGCGCAGAGGTGTGGGGGGATTTTCCAGCTTTTCCAGTGGGAAATTTCTCCTCGCTAAATGAGAAGGAACAGCCCCTTGGAAAACGATCCCTGCCTGAGCCCATCCCTGTTTGGTGTGTGGAGAAACCTCCCAAAACCCAAAGAAAACTGGGGAGATCAGGAGAACCACTTGGAGATTTGTTGGGATTTCAGGGATGGATGAGGCTTTTCCCAAATTCCAGGGCTGGATCAGCATCTCCTGACCTTGGGGCTGTGTCCAGGTCCTGCAGCACCTGCTGCCTCCTGCTCCAGAACTCCTGCAATTCCTGCTGCTTTGGGGCTGGGAAAATCAGGATTGGGAACCAGCCAGGCTGGAGCTGGGGGAGTTTCAGGGTGCAAAAAACCTGGGCAAGGCTGCATCTCCCATTCCCATTATTCCCATTATCCCCATTATTCTCTTTATTCCCATTCCCATTCCCATTATTCCCATTCCCATCATTACCATTATCCCCATTATTCTCATTATTCTCATTATTCCCATTCTTCCCATTCCCATTATTCTCATTATTCTCATTATTACCATTCTTCCCATTCCCATTATTCTCATTATTCTCATTCTTATTATTCTCATTATTCCCATTCCCATTATTCCCATTCCCATTCCCATTCTTCCCATTCCCACTCCCATTATTCCCAGTCCCAGCCCACTCCTCTCTCCCAGTATCTGCTGCCTGTAATCCACAGTGGGATTTCTTTGGGATCCCCCATCCCAAGGGATGAGCTGGGAGGTGCCCCCACATCCCCAGCACCGGCTCAGGGTGAGCTGGACCTGGCAAAAATTGGGAATGAGCTCTGCCAGAATCCCAGAGGGCTGCGAAATCCATGGGATTTGCTGGGAAAGCACAGGAGTTTCCCTAAAACCCCTCCTGGACCTGGATTTGCCGATCCTATGGATCCTTCCCAACTCGGATTTTTACTGGTTTCAGGTCCTGCTGCTCCAATTCCTGCTCAGTTTAGCTAGGCCAGGTTTAAATTCCCGGTTTAGACACTTCCCTTGCTTTTCCAACCGATCTTGACAGCAAAAGGAATTCCCAGATGGTTCCAAATCCATCCTGACGGTCCGGGAGCCGCTGAGATCCCGAGTGTCCCCCTTAGGCAGGATAATGTCACCCCCTGTCACCCCCATCCAAGAATCGCCTCCAGCCTGGATTTTCCCTGGAGTTGTTGCTTCTTTTTCCAGCTAATTGGATTTTTAAAGGGACTCTGGAAAGAAGGAATGGGATCGAGGGTGGTCAGCAGGGAGAGATTTTATGGATTTATCCTAACGTTTGTTATTATTATTATTTATTACGAAATGTGTTAGTAATATTTATTATAAATGTTGTCGTTATTTATTATAAGATTCGTTGTTGTTATTTACACAAGGGTCACAAATATATTTGATATTTGGCTCTGAGGGGGAGTTGCTGCCGTAAATTTTCCCTTTCCTTGGAGCAACAAGGAAAAACCCGTGGATGGATGGGGATGCCGGGATTTAATTCAGGCTCGGGCTGAGCTTGAAGCGCTGCCGAGCTTTGCCCCGGGCACGGCAGAGCCCGGCTCAGCTGCGGGCTCGGATCGGGAGATTCCCGCAGCCAGAGGCGGCTCCAGGGCACAATTCCCGGCTGAATCTTGGGAATGCGGGCCCACATTCCCGGGATCTGGGATGGGGCAGAGCCCGGAGTGTCCCAGAGCCGGCGCTGACATTCCCGGAATTCCCCTTGGAGCAAGGATCGCGCCTAAGGCACTTTTAGAGGGAATAGCGCTGGAGCAGGGCTGGGAAATCATTTCTGGGATATCCCGGGATTGGGAGCTGGATCCCTGGGTTATCGCAGGATTGGGAGCTGAATCTGACCCCTGGAATATCCCAGGATTGGGAGCTGGAGCTGGTCCTTGGGATATCCCCGGTCTGGGAGCTGGATCCCTGGAATATCCCAGGATTGGGAGCTGGAGCTGGATCCTGATCCCTGGGATATCGCAGGATTGGGAGCTAGATCTGGTCCCTGGAATATTCCAGGATTAGGAGCTGGATCCCTGGGATATTCCAGGACTGGGAGTTGGATCCCTGGGTTATCTCAGGATTGGGAGCTGAATCTGACCCCTGGAATATCCCAGGATTGGGAGCTGGATCTGGTCCTTGGGATATCCCAGGTCTGGGAGCTGGATCCCTGGAATATCCCAGGATCGGGAGCTGGAGCTGGATCCTGATCCCTGGGATATCTCAGGATTGGATCCGGATCCTTGGGATATCCTAGGACTGGGAGCTGGATCTGGATCCTTGGGATATCCCAGGACTGGGAGCTGGATCTGGATCCCTGGGATATCCCAGATTGGAAGCTGAAGCTGGATCCCTCCTCTGCAGCAGCCTTGGCTGTCCCTGCATTCCAAGCAGGGAGGGAAATCCAGCACTGGGAAAAATCTCTGGGAAGGAGAGAAAAGTCTGGGAAATCAGGGCCCTCTTCCCTGAGCCTCAAATCCCTGTGGGATCAGGGATCAGCATCCCAGTCCCGGGGTTTAGGGACAGATTTGGGCAAGGCTCAGCTTTGCTCCAGCTCTGACAATCCAGAGAAACCTTCCCGAGATTTCCCTGGAATAGCCCAGTAACACCTGCCTGGGCAATGGGTGGAATTCCACCTGGATGGAGTGCCTGAAATCCGGCGCGGTGAGGGTGGGAATCCGGGATAATTCTGCTCGTTAGTCGCAGGATTAAGGAATTAAGACTGGTCTAAAGTGGAGAGCTCTGCAAAGATGGGTTTGAGGAGAATTTGTGGCCAAAGGAGCTTTGAAAGTCTGACACCAGCAGAGCTCGGGAGAAGGGAAAATGTGGGAATGATTTTTATTCGGGAGGCGCTGGCAGAGGGAAAATCTCCCCATGTCCTAAAAGGTTGGATTTTAGGATCTGAAAGATCTTTCCGACCTAATCCTGGGATTCACGGAGACAAAACCTCCAAGGTTTTTGCTCTTCCAACCCTTTTTATTTTCCCGTTTTTTTCCCTCCTTTTGCTCAGCCTGGCAGATCCCAGCCCTGCCGGCACTGGAGGAGATATTCTGATTAATCAATCCATGGATTAATTATTAATAAGAATAAGACAGCAGCTTCCTGCAGGGCTTGGGACCAGAATATCCCAGTTTTTGGAGTCAGCCGCCAGGCTGCAGCGGGCTGAGCTCCGGGAAGCAGATCCATGTGGGAACAGGGTGGGAAAAGGGACCATTCCCACTTTTCCTTGGCTGCCCCGGCCTGCTCAGGGTGTTTGGGTGATGCTGAACTTCCCTCTGCTTTTGGGACACTCCCAAAAATTCCAATCCCGAGCTTTGGGGGCTTGGGAATCTTTTCTGGCACACCTGGAGAGAATTCCCCATTCCATATCCAGCCCTGGATCCCTGGAAGTGTCCTGGGAAAGGTTGGGTGGGGCTGGGAGCAGCCTGGGATGGGAGAAGGCGTCGGGGTTGGAATGGGATCATCCTTGGGGTCCTTCCCAAGGCAAAGCACGCCGGAATTCCGTGCTGTGGAGGAAGGTTTGGATTAAGGAGGTGCTGGATGGGGTTTTCCTCTTGGGCTCGTTCCTTCTTTCACAGATCAATCCCACAGATCTCCAGAAGTCGGGAAAAGGGAATGGGGAAATCAGGAAGGAATGAATGAGAATGCTCATTGTCAGAATACAACCCATAATATTTTTTTTAACTTAATTTTTTTAATTA